TAGTGCCTTAGCTAAGAAGAAGACGGTCCAACCAATCTGAAGATCCTCCTGTTCTTAAGAACTCGCGGGTTGGAAGAATTAACATAAAATCTATGGAAGTTCTTAAATTAATCGAGTTTTTCAAAAACCGCGAATTCTTAGGATAAAGAGGATATATTTGTGTGGATCATACATAACTTAACTAAGAAACCTAATGGTATATTCTATATCGATTTTTCAAAAACCGCGAATTCTTAGGAACAAGAGGATTCATTTGTGTGGATCATACATAACTTAACTAAGAAACCTAATATGTTCTATATTGATTTTTCAAAAACCGCGAATTCTTTAGAGCAAGAGAATTTGTTTTTGTGGATCATACATCTGTAATTTGAAGACCAGAAGAATTCGCATGGGCGGAAGATGTGGAAACAAATGTCGATATATCGTATCCTTTAATTTTAAATATGATACACAAATAACCATCTTGACCTTAAGAATTCCCGACGGGTCGATGAGCTGTGAAAATTGTGATCATCGACTTATTTAAAAATCAATTTTTTTCATTGGGTAACCTTAAACCTGAACTGTTCTACTTGAAACCCATTTGACTTGGGTCGTTTGGGTTTGGGTAAGAATTGACTCACTTACCCAAATATCCAAACCCAAACGACCCAAGTCAAATGGTTTTCAAGTAGGTCGGTTTACTTGTGCAGGGCTCTAATTTATACCTAACAAAGTGCAGAAGACATTTTTCAAATCGGGTCATTAATTAAAAAGTTATGCGCAATCAAAATAAGGTTATATATCCATCTCCGTCGCACTCCCTTTAGCCGAGTGACGGGTATTAGATAGTCGGGAGACGAACCCGACTATAGCGTTCTCTCTTGTTTTTAAAGTGAAATCCATTTTTTATATTTATATTTTTATATTATTTCTAATATAATTCTTAACAAAAATACTAAAACCATTTATAGCAAGATAAGTATTGTCTAATGATGATGTAAAATCATTTAAACTAAATAATTTAATTCTTTAATAACAAAGATAATTGCATAGTGTTTTTCAAAATATTTATCGTATTTAACATTTACCATACAAAAATACGAGAATTGTACTATTCGCTACTGCATACAAATCAAAGATGAAAAAAGTGAAAATTGCTCCCAGTGCGGAAAAGTGCAGAATGTGACTAACACATATGGATTCTGTATTGACAAGGCTACAACATAGACTTGGTCGCACATAAAATAACCTAAAAACTTGTCTAAAACTCTTTCTCAAAACTTTGACCCAAGTTGAAAATTATTTCCCAGAAACCAGCTTAATCTGCAATTGTTAGAGGGCCTATTTTCATGAATTTTTTCACACAATACGGTTAATGTTAGATAAATTATTTTATTATTATATCAAAGTACAACACTTAAACTATATTTTCTGAAATTTTTATTGAAAAAAATTTAAAAACCAGAAAGGAAGCTAGCTTCGGCAAGCCGAAGCTTATATACCCTTGCAGATCATTCTATTAATTTACAAATCGCAAAAATGTTAAATTTCTTATTATTTCACATTAATTTTTCGATCGTTTCTATCACAGCTATATGATATAGTAGTTCGATCTTTTAAAAATTAAAATCGAAATTCGGAAATATTTAAAAATAGTCATATCAAAGAGTAGAAGGGAATGTAATAAAAGCCAACAAAGATATAATTTTTTTCCCATTAATTTCCATTTAATTTTTCGACCGTTCCTATGGCAGCTATATGATATAGTGATCCGATTTAAAAAACAAAAAAAACGAAATTCAGAAATATATAAAAAAAAATATTCCCAAGAGTAGAAGGTAAAATTTCAAAAAACACCGGAGCTAGAATTTTTTTACGTTTTTTTTTTTGATCCTTCCTATGGGAGCTATAAGATATAGTTGTCCGATCCGGTCGGTTCCGACATATATACTACCTGCAATAGAAATACGACTTTTACGAAAGTTTCAGCCCGATAGCTTTAAAACTGAGAGACTAGTTTGCGTAGAAACGGACGGACAGACGGACGGACAGACGGACATGGCTAGATCGACTCGTCTAGTGATGCTGATCAAGAATATATATACTTTATGGGGTCGGAAACGTCTCCTTCACTGCGTTGCAAACTTCTGACTGAAATCATAATACCCTCTGCAAGGGTATAATGAGCCGTCTGCGGCTGTTAAATATTAACATTTTAAGTATAAGGTGTTACTAGCCGAGTCGATATAGCCATGTCTGTCTGTCCGTCTGTCTGTCTGTATGAACGCTGAAATCTCGGAAACTACAAAAGCTAGAAGGTTGGGATTTCCCACACATATTCTTGGGCTTCCTACTCAGCGCAAGTTTATTTTAGCCGAGCGCCCCGCCCCCTCTAACGCCCACAATCGCCCACTAACGATTTTAAAATGTGTCTTGCGCCTACATCTTTAAAGATTTCCGAGAAGTATAAATGCAATTTTGTTGTGTATAAGACATTTTTCAAATCGGACCATTCATTAAAAAGTTATACGCAATGAAAAAAAATGGTTATATATCCTCCCTCGCACTCCCTTTAGCTGAGTGACGGGTATTAGATAGTCGGGGCACGAACCCGACTATAGCGTTCTTTCTTGTTTTGTCTTCAAGACAAGCTCGCCCTAAATTTTACGGTAAAATTGTCCCATATTTATACCCGTTACTCGTAGAGTAAAAGGGTATATTGTATTCGCGTAAAAGTATGCAACAGAGAGAAGGAAGCGTTTCCGACCCCATAAAGTATATATATTCTTGATCAGGATCACTAGCCGAGTCGATCTAGCCACGACCGTCTGTCCGTCTGTCTGTCCGTATGAACGCTGAGATCTCGGAAACTTTGAAAGCTAGAAGATTGGCATTTTGCATGCAGATTTTAGGAGTTCTTACGAAGCGCAAGTTTGTTTCAAAATGGTGCCACGCCCCCTCTAACGCCCACAATCGCTAATGTACAATTTTAAAAATTTTAATATTTTGGAAAAGTAAAAATGCAGTTTTATTGTTTTTATCAATACCTATCGAAATGTAGAAGAAATTTTTCAAATCGGAGCATTCTACTATGGGGCATTTGACCACTTTTCTTGGCCGAAATTAATAACTCGGTCAATTCAAAAGATATTGACTTGAAAATTTACCAGTCGCCATTTTTTATCCCTACGCATATTATATATGAGAATCATCCGGATCGGACAACTATATCATGTAGCTGCCATAGAAGCGATCAAATTAACTTTGCTGTTTTTGGAGATAAATGCACAGAACTTTCGAAATAGCAAATATGTCAGTTTTTAAAACAATATTAAAAGTTTTGTACAAATTGAACGACTATATCCTACAGTTCTCAAAAAGAATTGCAAAGGAAAGAATTTACTCTACATTTATGCGACTTTTTGTCCAAGTTGTAGCGCAACTTTCGTTTTAAAGCCGCTTAAGTCCACTTAAGTTAGTCAATTACAAAGCTAAGTATTTCTACTCTATTTTGATACTAATTTAAGGCCAGAAATGACCTTACTTCCTTAGCCACCAGTGATAGCAACCACCAAACGATAGGAGTGTGTGAAATTTTAGGTTATGGTCTAAAAAATTAAATTACAGAAAAAGTGGCAATAAGTGGCGATTCTGACCATATAAATTTTAACAACAATTAAATAATCTACAAATCCCAATAGGTTCCAGAAGTGGACTACGCTGGACTCACTTTGTTGCTCCATTTGAAGTTTAGTTTTCTTACGAAAATGTAGTTGATAGCCCACTCCCTTTAACACTCATTTTTAAGAAAAAACCGTCTGATTTTTGTCGTCTAACCACAAACTACTTAGTACATAGCATAATCCTTTAAATCCAATCTAAAAAGTTTACTTACATTGCTTAAAAACTCAAATTTAAAGCACTTTAAAACTGCAAGCAAAAAGTCGAAATACAGCAGCCCGATAATTGAATTTCGAACAGCTGATTTCACAGCTTCTAACTTAACAGAGGCGACCTCTATCGGATTTCTGTAAACGTAACATTGTTGAATTGTCTTGTTGTTGTTGTTGTCTTCTGTTAACACATCCTCAAAGAACATTTTTTGTTTTAACAACTTTTAAAAAATGGGTTTTGGCCAAGCAAGGTGGTCAAATGCCCCATAGTGCAAAGGAGCTGAGGAAAGAAGTGGACAAAGAGAACGTTCGTCAGCGGTGAAGAAAATAACGGTAGACGTACGATTTTTGTGACGGTCATGAATTGGTTTTACTCCGTCCACGAAATGCATAACGCGCCTAAAGAAGTTTCACTTCAAAAACCGATTGTAACTAACAAAATGACGCATATGTTTTGTTTTGTGGGGAACGCGTTAAAAAAAATTGTTTAATCTTAATTTGTTTTTACTTTTAAGAAAATAAAAACTCATTTAGTTAAAAAAGAAGAGGTTTTAGAGGAATTAGTGCAATAGACACGAAGTCAATCGGATTACTACAACCGGAGATAGAGATTTTCAATGAAAGGGTATTTTTTTAAAATTAACGTTTTTGCAAAACAACAAAAAATTCTAAAAAAAATAATTTTTTTTTCGGTTAAATCCGTTTGGTTTGTAAAAGAACCGCCCATTAGCAAGACAATTTTCCCCAAAATGTAAAAAACAAGTCCTAAAACGTTCTTCTAGGTTTGTCTAAGCCTAACCCCATTTATTACCTCGGTTTTCTTTCCAGGACTATCTAAAATTCACCTTACCTGGTGAATGTATTTTCCCAATCAAAACTATTCAATCTCTAGAAATAAATTGTGATAATTCAAGGACTACGCTATTTTACAAGGATAATATTTAAATTCAAAACACGTTACAGCTTGTTAAATATGACAAAGGCTCCAAAACATTGACATTTAAGTTTTACCATTAAATTTGATAATTAAAATGCTTGTACAAAATAAGCTGACACAAATAGCCAGTACTTTAAAAAAATGTATTTTCATAAACGAAAACCAATAAAATTACGTTAACTTACCCATCGATAAAAAAATCAGATCACCATATGAACGTAACTCAGATAAATTACATGATTGAACTAATATTGACATCCAGACGTGTACATTTTCCTCTAATATAATGTGTTTTTGCTTTAGATAACATATAAGGAGACGGAATCCAAGAGCACGGCTTTTACGTTTTTTAAGAGTTGATGTTACAAGTCGCTCCATATTATTAAACTCTGTGAAAATAAAAAAAATTTTAAATAGTACAATATTTATTTTTCTTATGTTTGCGTATAAACAAGAGTAATGACTTACTCTAAGATAGTTTCGGATAATATTAATGTGGACTTGTACTTTTTATTTTCAGTCGGCAATTTCAGCATACATGTGCTTGAATGTTTGTTTGTTTATAGTTACATGTGACCGCAGCTCTAATATTAAATATTGCTTATAGTCTGTTCACACAGAGAACATTTATGCTGGGTTGCACTATTTCCTGTTCCCACAGAGACCATTCGTTAGAAACAGTTTGCCTTTTTAACATTTGAAACTCGATGTACGTCAAAATAGCGTCGACCAGTTAGCAACAAAAGTGGTACGGTGGAATTAAAAGAACTGGGGCCATTTTTAATTTTTAAATTTTTTTAATTTTTTAAATTTTCTCGCTAGTTGGGTGCCGAATTGAAAAATGTTTAATGCAAAATTCAAATATCTATCGATCTATATATGTAGGTCGGGGCCAAGTCCGAGGTCTGCAAGTGTTTCATAAATTCATTCAAAAAATCATGTGTCCACCATTTGCTTAACTGCTCCCCTCAAAGAGGTTGTGCACGCTAAACCAGGTTATTAAGCGTTAATTCAAGCTTCTTGTCTGAAAGTTTCATCAAAATCAAATCACAGATTTTGAGTAAAACGCCTAACAGTGAACCAACCTCGGATTTTCCGAAGCCAAAAATTAATTTGTCTGGGGCCCCACTCAAAGAGGTTGTGCCAACATGGACGGTACAAGGGCAGATTGGGGATCCTTCTAAGAACGTTTTGTGAAAATTTCATGAAAATTAATGTACAGTTTGGGGGTTAAATGGTCAAATTTTGAAATTTCCCGCTGACTGCTCCAGCGAAACCACTTGCAGCCATGACATCAAACATCCATATATTTTCTATGCAAACTTAAGTAATTAATACAGCTCTCACAGAGGTTGTGCCAACTTGCACGGTATATCAACAGAAGGGGAAATGTTTTTAAGTGTTTTCTGAATTAATTTCATCGAAATCCAACACACAGATTTCGAGAAATTCCAGTATTTTTAATTGTAACTTTTCCCACGCGGTCACTCTGTCCAGCCAGCGAGACAGCGTACGGAGCCAGGACATAAACTATCAATATATTAATATTTTTTATTCAAACTTTAAATAATTAAAACAGCTCTCACAGAGGTTGTGCCAACTTGCACGGTATATCAACAGAATGGGCATGTTTTTGAGTAATTTCTGCGTTAATTTCAGCGAAATCAAACCCACAGATTTCGAGATTTCAAGTCATTTAAATTGGGCTTTCCACGCGGTCACACTATCCAAACAGCGAGACAGCGTACGAAGCCATGACAAAAACCAAAATCTTGGTATTTATATCGATATATTGGGCGATGGCGCCCAATATCGAAAATAAATATATTTTTATAGCGAATTTTCAATTAAAATGTATGAACCCCATAATTGGACTTGCCCTCCTGATTATTTTTATGCATAATTCATCCAAATCGATCCAGTGGCTTGGTAAAAATTAACAGTTTACTGATTTTGGAAAAATATATTAATTTTTATACCCTTGCAGAGGGTATTATGATTTCAGTCAGAAGTTTGCAACGCAGTGAAGGAGACGTTTCCGACCCCATAAAGTATTTATATTCTTGATCAGCATCACTAGACGAGTCGATCTAGCCATCTCAGTCTTTCCGTCTGACCGTCTGTCCGTCTGTCTGTTTCAACGCAAACTAGTCTCTCAGTTTTTGAGCTATCGGGATGAAACTTTTCCAAAAGTCTTCTTTCTGTTGCAGGTAGTTTATATGTCGGAACCGACCGGATCGGACAACTATATGTTATAGCTCCAATAGGAAGAATCGGAAAAGAAAACGTTAAAACAATTCTAGTTTCTGTGTTTTTTGAAATATTACCTTCTACTTTTGAGGATGTTATTTGGGTAAGAATTTTAGAAATTTTAGATTTTCTTCAATCTCCGGTACTTTGAAGAGTTTGCCTTGGTTATCATCTGTGTTTTTTTTTGAAATTTTTTGGTGTCCATTTGTGGGCGCTATGAATTTTTGAAGTTAGGAACTTAAAAAATGTTCTCAAACTTCAAATTAGTATATCTCGAGAACGGCTTAGAAGAACAACGTGCAACTTTACACGTTTTTAAATGTGTACTGGGGGAGTTAGAAAATAATTTTCTTAAATTTTTTGTTGTCCAATAAGTATGAATTTTAATTATTTGAAATTTTGTATCGCGGTTTTGACTGTCTTCTTCATCCTATAAAAGAAACTTAATTATCCAAGATTGTCCATCTCATAACCAACTTAATTTACCCAAAGAAACATTTTTGTTCCTTTTCATCATTTCAAGGATATATATTTCTTTATGCGAATTTAGAAAAACTCTAGTTATATTTCCAATGAGTACAATTCTTACATGTTTAAGCTGAAAGTTTGCACAAATTAGTATATCTCGAGAACGGCTTAGAAGAACAACGTGCAACTTTACACGTTTTTAAATGTGTACTGGGGGAGTTAGAAAATAATTTTCTTAAATTTTTTGTTGTCCAATAAGTATGAATTTTAATTATTTGAAATTTTGTATCGCGGTTTTGACTGTCTTCTTCATCCTATAAAAGAAACTTAATTATCCAAGATTGTCCATCTCATAACCAACTTAATTTACCCAAAGAAACATTTTTGTTCCTTTTCATCATTTCCAGGATATATATTTCTTTATGCGAATTTAGAAAAACTCTAGTTATATTTCCAATGAGTACAATTCTTACATGTTTAAGCTGAAAGTTTGCACAACTCAATTACTTACTGATATTATGCACATATATTAATATCATAATTTTACCACCGTCCCTTCATATAGCTGCCATACAAATCGATGGGTTTTGTTATTGTTAAGAAAGTAGGCTTTGAAAAATAAATATTACAATCTGAAATATAAAATAAACCGAATACATGCTTCGTCCTTGAATTATTTAACATATAATGTTCAAACTAACCTAAGACAGAAAAAAAGAGATAATGAAATGATAAACAAGAGAGGAATACTACAAGTTTCACTTCTGTCGTGCTTAGGCTTGACACACCCATTTTTTAAAGTGAAACTTCTTTAGGCGCGTTATGAATTTTCGTGGACGGAGTAAAACCAATTCAGACCGTCACGAAAATCGTACATCTACCGTTATTTTCTTCACCGCTGACGAACGTTCTCTTTGCCCACTTCTTTCCTCTCTTCGCTCTGAGTGTTCTTGCACATGGTGCAAGAGGATATATTTGTGTGGATTATACATAACTTAACTTAACTAAATATACTTATAAATAATTGGAAAATTCGCGACATTCATTTTTTAATTACTTTATGCAAAATCAGACAGATGGACAGGTGCATTTCGACTGGGATATTTATTCTTATCATTTGGATTTTCTGGTACTAAATGGTTTTTTTTGACGTCATGTACTTCCACCGAACATAGAAGTTACATATATAAAACATTAAAAGGCGCTATAATTCCTTATAATATCCTTGGACATAGTCATGTCATAGCTCATATGAAAGGTATTGACTCGAAGATCAATCCTGTTTTTAGATTTTGGCCCATACTCCATTGGTTTAAAAGATATTTGCATTCAATTTTTATTTTCAATTTTTATAATAAAAATTGGAGAATAAGACTTATTTTCAATTTATATAATAAAAATTGGAGAATAAGACTTATTTTTAATTTATATAATAAAAATTGAAGAATAACACTTACACTGTGCAACATTTTTAGGGTTATAAAATGTAACCGCAATTCTGATTTCATTGGCGGAAAGAACTCATCGAAATAAGCTAAAACCCATTTGGGTTTCTCTGGCTTAGCTCGCGTTTACCTATTATAGCGAGTTAAAGTTTTACATACAAAATTTATTTGTAACGGCCATATCTTGTGAACCGATTAAAATTTTACTATCAAGTCTTCAGTGATTATATAGCTATGAACCCAAGGAACTAAATTGACAAATGACTCTTGCGAAGACGTACACCTAGCGCGTTAAAAATCGAAAAATTAGGCAAATTTGTTTTTTTAACGCGCTAGGTGCTAAGTGCGCAAGAGTCATTTGTCAATTTAGTTCCTTGGGTTCATAGCTACATAATCACTGAAGACTTGATAGTGAAATTTTAATCGGTTCAGAAGATATGGCCGTTACAAATAAATTTTGTATGTAAAACTTTAACTCGCTATAAAAGGTAAACGCGAGCTAAGCCAGAGAAGCCCAAATGGGTTTTAGCTTATTTCGATGAGTTTTTTCCGCCCATGAAATCAGAATTGTAGTTACATTTTTCATGTTGCACTGTGTTATTTTTAAATTAAAAATTGAAAAATAAGACTTATTTTTAATTTATAAAATAAAAATTGAAAAAAAAGGTTTATCACGTTTTCCCATTTGCCGAACCATACTAAGTAAGTGGTTTTTTTCCCTTATTTTTTGGACGCTATTTTGGCTATCAATTTTTTTAAACTCATAACAGTTATTTGCAGTTCCTGATAACTGGAACTTAAAACTTAGCTATAGCTACGGGGCCTTAAGCTAACTCAAAATATGATAAAATAAAATAAATACTTCAATATGATCGGAAAAAATAAAACTCAAAAATAATGAATATTGTTGATTTTTATATTTTTTGATCAAAAATAAAACTCACATGGACGCCACTGGTTTTCTATACCGAATTGGGACGTTCTTTTAACATAGTCCTATGAAACGAATGCAGACGCACCACTTCTGACAAAAAGAAGCTTGAACTTGGCCTCTGCATCCCGTGAAATGGTATTTTAATTTTAGTCAGTAAAGGAGAGACTTCCAGCCTTTGTTTTTGTCTATGTATTAAAAGATGGATTTCAGTCGAAATGCTCTTAATATATATTATTTATATCTCTTCACTCTGAGCGCGCTCGCACATGGTGCAAATGCATATATAGACAAAAATATATGAAAAAAAAAATAAAAATATATATATGGGCACTTCCAAAAAAAAGTCCACCAAGCCAAAAACCTTGAAACTTGAATAAAACATATATCCACATGATTTTGCCCCGATATTAGTTTCTAATTAGTTGGATACTGAGCTTAACTACAAATTTCGAGTATAGTTTGATTATTTTTATGACAAACTCTACCAATATACGGAATAATCAGTTTTTGGCTATTTTTTTGTTATTTTTTGGACCTGTCTTCTGTTGTTAATTTATCCTATAGGAATGCTAAT